ATCTCGGTGGGACCTCATCCTTTTCTTCAATGTAAGACAACTTGCCGGTAATACACTGCATAGTGTTGTGTGTAAACCAGAAGATGATAAACAGCAGCTGTGTTTAAACAGCAGTCCAAGCTGTCACTAGCACCAACTACACAGCAGGACTGCAGAGAATCAAACAATGGTACACCGCCACCTTACCAAACCGTTTTCCCCTCATGTTGCTCATATGAATTCTGGTTGAAGAAGGAATTCCCTAAATGGTGCCCAAATATCCAAAACAACCATCCTACAGTGCTCAGATCCTTTACTTACTTTGAGCAATGTCACAACATAAAGTCAAGGTGGAGCTCATTTGAACTACTTAATACACTGTTATTGTTTGATCTATAACAAGCCATCACATTTTATAAGTTGTTTGTGTAGTCTGTTGGAAAATGCAATCTGCAAAGTAACTAGCAAAAAGCACAATATTTCACCCCTCTAAGAGTGGAGTATAAAGTATAAAGCAACAGTGGAAATTCTTCAATAGTGCAGTACAGTATTGGAAGACGTTTATCAACCTTGGACAATAATACTGGGATTAAATAATTTCACTCAGAAATATGACTCACTGAATACCACAGGTTTATGTTTAAACAACTTTATTTCCACAAATAAATGGCAGTGTTAAAAATATATATATACAATAATGTGCTTGAATTGAACATTTCTTTTTACGTTTTATTGGAATGTTTCTCAAATTTCTTTACAAATATGTCCATGACAGCTGTTTCTCTACTGGGCAGCATTGGCAAAAGTATACAGAGTGGGATCCCTGTGCAGAATGAGTTGAGAACCACCACTCTTTAACAGAGCCTTCTCATACTCAGCTGTTTTCTTACCACAATAGTGTCTTATTCCCCGTGCATCAGTGTACCCTGCTGTATCCACACTGGAACATTTGTGTTACCAGTACGTTGTGTGTGGGTGCATCCTGGAAGAACACCACATTTGAGCTCACTTTCAAACATAAGGCTCGCTCAGTATTCCAGTGGAAACTGAAAAGGTGCTGCTACTGTAGCCCGCCAGTGTACACACAGCACGGTACATGTGTAATGGAAAAACTATTAAATTATATCTCCGTGAAGTGGCAGTAAATTGTATTTGTGCATTTGAAAAAAAAGCACATTGTAACAACCATACAAACCATTAGAAACAGGGAAACAGCCTATTTTAACAGCCACAACAATAATAACAGACTTATATTACAAAGCAATAGGAACACTATAATAATACTGTAATAAAGACATGAAATCGTCTCGTTCCCATGCTGACTGAAGGGGGAGTTAATAGGAGATGGAATAAACATTCATTCCTAATTTATAAACTAATCTGGCACCGTTCTGTCTGCCAAAGCTATATCTGACACAGACACATTTTAAAATGGAATTCTTAATGTGTAGCTCTGTCTCGTCTTTGTTTTCATCAGATTTCCTATCGTAAGGAAAATTTTCCCACCAATTGTACAAACAATTGTAACAAAGTTGGAGGGAGTCCTTATGAAAAGTACACGCTCCTCACACTCCTTACATACATGATTTCACACACTACAGTGCTTTTAAATCTATTGTATGTGTGCTATTTATTGGCCCAAATGACTGAGATTCAGTATGAGTGAAATTATTGCATCACTCCACATCTTCATTATCTCTGCACCAGAGGAGAGAGTGGGAAGAGGTGGAGCCGGTAATGTTTAGCACATAATTTAGTTCCAGGAAGTAAATCAGATCAAATCAGATGAGGCTCAAAATTAGCTGCACACTACTTTACATACACGTTTAGCTGTCGTGCCAGGCTGTTATACTATGGAGAAATGTATTGCCACAGTTTTATCTCCTACTGAAGCTGAGCTGTGTATATGAATCATTAAAGTCAGAAGCCCATTCAGAGTACATTCCACATTCAAATGAGCTCTGATTATTTGCCATAAAAGTAAATAAATATTGGCAAGATTGGTATAAGCATCAACTTTAACAAACTTATTATACAACAATAATGTGGGGATAAAGCATTTAAACAAATTTTAGCTAAACCATAATGTGTTACAAAGGCTAAGAGTCAATACTACAGAAACAGTGAAGTTGACAAAAAGGTTTAAAGCTGCAACGGCTGGCAAACAGTAAAACAGACTCATTTTATGCCTTTTTAGGCTGCGGTAAGCAGCAACTTCTGTGGCTAGCAAGTTAAGCCAATGCGGAAGTGCCAAAAACTGCAGTCCCTTGAGCGGCCACTTAAGGCTGGCTACAGAAGTGAGTCACACTCCATAAGCCCAAATACTAAAATGTCTAACTTTACAGCAGAAATAAACATGTTTACAGCCTGGTACAAAAAAACGGTTTCGGTCTCTATGGCTAAATTCCTTTCTCGTAACTGTATGGTGGATGACTCATCGCTTTAAGATATATTAAGGCTGAAAGCTATACATAATTAAGGGAATGGTCGCTTTGAGTAACAGGCGGGTGTGATCACAGGCAGCTGGTTTCAGTAACCTTGCTTCAGTCAGCTCCACTCAGCTCCACCCACGCTCCACCACTTTGCCCATTTTTGGATTAGCCAGGAGCTGGCAGAGTCAGGACTGCCAAGGTGGCGGCTAACCCTAACCCTAACCCTGTTTGTCCACCTACTTATAATATTTTTATTAATTTACAATTTAAAACATTTAAACATGTAATTTAAAGGTAACTGAACCTCACCAAACCATAAAATTCCACTAGAGTCCAAAGCTGAGATGACCGACTTTAGTTGAATTAATGTTCATTTTTTTCTCCATCATGACTGGATTTTACAACTGTCTCATTTAGTTGCATGGAATAACAAAGTGAAGTAACCAGATGTCATCAAAATCTATATTTTTCAATTAAACAAAAATAAAGTAAAGTAAATAAATGTAGGTTTAGCTAGCTGAGGCTATTTCACTAGCCAGCTTTACCTTAGTTACCTTTTTTTACTTTAGCTAATGTGCTGTCTTTCTGTGACAGAGAGTGCAATACGTGCCATGGTTTCATTTGGTAAAAGGGATGCCAAACCGTCAGATTATTCTCTTTACTCAATTATGACCAAATATGTAGTTACTGTGTTTTGCCTTTGTAGGGCTTTGAGCCCTCTGGCCATTGTACACTTCCTCTGACTGAGAGTCCTATTTTTGTTACATGTCATCAGGAAATCTCAACCATGATTACGTCGCTTTTGTTGTTTCATCCTGTAAACATGATAGTTTTTATTTTCTTGCTGGCTTTCTGCAGACCATTGATGATTATATTATCTGTCTTAGATAAAAGCATGTAAAAGAAACGTATAGATCACATCAGTGGGCTTTGACATTCATTGGTCACAGTGGTGTGTGGGGTAAAGCATTCAGAGGCTTCATAAGGCAGCAGATTACACAAACACACAGCTTTACATTTGTGATATCAAAATGGCAGGTTTAGGATTGGCATCTTTCTAAACTCTAACAGGAAATACATTATAAAAACAAAAAAAATACTGAAATACATAAGTGGACTTCATCCCAGCAACAGAACACATGTACACAAAACCATGACTACACTAGGATTACAGGATGACACCATGATATAATGATTATTTCTCATCAGTTTATACGAGTTCAAAAAATGTCTGTGTATGAACATCACATGCTCTTTAAGTGCTTTTCAGATATTTAGTATGTATTGTACTTACACAATCTCTGTTTTTTTTGTCTTCTGTCTACATATAAGCGTGTGTGTGTGTGTGTGTTTGGCACTACAACTATCACCTCCACTCAGATGTCGGTGGTCTCCAACTTGTTGATCATGTCCACCTCCCCGTTGCTGCATGTTTTGCTGTTCTTCTGCTGCCCGTTGGCTTTCTGCTGGACGAAGTGACTGTTTACCGAAGGCGCAGCAGCGGGCTGCTCCAAATTGATGGTGGCGCGGCTGGTTTCGGTAATGGAGGAATTGTGGTAGTTAAAGTGGTTGTTGGTAATAGGTGTTTTGCCCCAGGCAGACTTCAACTGAGCCCACTTCCTCTTCAGCGCTGTCTGGGCCTGGACGTCAACAATGATAGTCAAGAGAGAATTTAAACTTACTACAAGCACTGTTTAACTGCTTATTAAACAGTCTCAGTTAAAACAAACAAGACCATCATTGAGAAGGCTGGTTACTTCTATGGGGCCGCCCCGCTCAACAAAAAAATTGAACTTCGTAGGAGCTTTAAATAAATCTATCCATCACGTATATTATAACAGTTTACATTATTTGAGTCATAATAACTGATCTACCTTAAGTATCTGTTAGCAGTTTAGGCTCTTTATTATATCTAATATTACAATTTGAACATACCTCAGCATTGCAGAAACAGAATATAACTGCCACTAGGAGTCCCTGCAAAGTAAAAGGATGGATTAAATATTAATACGTTAACAGATGTAGGTGACTATCCTGTAAATAATACATGTAAATAGACCAATTGATGCATGGTTTCTTTTTCTCTACTTGCTGTGAATTTTGGATTTATGGCCACCACAAGAAACCAATTTTACAAATATTAATACAAGGAGCAGCTGACAGTCAAATTTCCAAAAGCAAGAGGCCAAACAGCACTTGTTTATTCAAATTCAAGAGCGCAGAATGGCTCTCTCATGCTTTGCAGTGTAATGGAAATTGTTAAAAGTGCTCTTTAGTTCGACGATGCTGCTTAATGGCATTTAATGGCATTAAAAGCATTCATGCCAAACACCAACTGTACTTGGAAGAGAAAATGTCAAATCTTTTAAGTGGTAAACATCACCATAGAGTTTGTTTAATACATCCACGATTTGAATGAGTCTCTGTGGTGAGCAGCAGCATCAGCCTTTGTGTGCTGGTTGTACCTGGAAGTGGCTGACGACATTTACAAAGAAATCATAGATGGCCCGGCTGATGTGTCCCTCTGGCCTCGAGGGTAAAAGGATGTACTGCACTCCCAGCAGGGGGATGAGGATGAGGGTGGCTCTCACTGCCTTCATGTAGGCTGTGGACTCAGCACAGTGGGTGTCTTTCAGCTTGGTGATTAGGACGCGGACGATGTTCAGTAGAAAGAAAAAGTTAACCTTTGATAGATTGATGGTGGGTGGATGGACAGAGGGATGAGTGGATGAAATGAAAGTGGAAGAGAGAGAGAGAGAAGGATAGAAATGTGTAAATGTTACTGATATACAGAAGTTAACTTGACTAGACTAAACTTGAAGAGAAGGCACATATGCATATTATCTAAAGAATTACAATGACTGGCCTGGTGGTGGCACTATCATCACATCTCTAAGTGACAAGCTCACGGCAGTGAGTCTCTTATAACCTCTTTTCCTGATTTCTGATTTCCATGACATTTAAATATAATTTTTAAGAGTTTCTGTATTAAATTACTTGGCTATAAAACCTGGACAATGATGTATACTATGTTGGCCCTGTGTTCTACCATTACCAAGTTACTAAATCAAATGAAATATTCTCATCTCAGTGGCATATTAATATCAGTACTGTTTGGTAATTTTGTTTCTGATGAACAGTCCTGCCAATAAAGGTAGTGAATTAGAAACTGACAGCAGTGTGTTTGAATTAATCTTGTATTTACATCTAAACCACAGTGTTCATTTGCATGACGAGTTTCAGTTAAACAAATTCTACCAGTCTGCCTTTTGTTGTCACTAACTATTTGAAAGGCAGTTTTCCAAGGTAAATTTTGAAGGAACAAGCAGAGACTACAATGATTGGTCAAATTTGCAGAAAAGTTGCAGTGACTGGACAAAATTGCAAGGTCACAGAATTCACGTGGATTGCTTGAATTGCTGCAATCTCAACATTGCAACTTCCTTGAGGGACTGACAAGATAAAATCTGTGACTGATAATTTCCTAGTAATCTTATGGTAAAACCTTATATAATATACTTTTATTAATTACTCACAAGCAGTGCAGCTTGAATTGGCCCATGAGTGATATAGAGCAGGTGTGTGTTTGAGCTGATCCAACACCTGAAACAAACAGAGAGCGAGAAAAAGTTAAGCTCTGAACACCTTCCTGGTGAGCTTTCACATGCACAGTGACATAAAAGAAAAAGCCAGAGGGCTTCATGAAAGCCTGAATTCATTGTTAGCACTACACTCAGAAAACAAAAGGCTTCTTGATGAGGCAAATCAATATATTTCAATTCCTCTCAGCCTGAAAGTGAGTAAACAGAAGGTCACAGGAAGGAGAGAGAGGGGGCCTGTTGTTATGTTACAGTGGGTTACTGCATGGAATGCATTAAATGCTGTAACATTCCTGGTCTTGATCTGGATTCGGGCTTTACAGTTGTGACAATCAGAAGAACAGTAAAAATACTACATCTTACTTGTCGTTAAAGAAGAGCCCACGAGCCACAGCATACGTGATGGCAGGAACGATGGGAAAACCTTTGGACAGAGAGAAACACAGACAGAAATATCAGACTGACATCCTGAATGTCTACAGAGGAATAAGAGTAATAAGTGCACAATATGCACATTTCCTTTCTTGCTGAGAGTTAGATGAGAACGTTGATAGGCATATCTGTTCGTTTAAAAGGAAGATCAGGAGACAGTTAACATAGCTTAGCATAAAGAATGGAAATGAACGGCAAGAAAGTGGCATCTAGCGGCGTAGTTGCAGATTACAATCCCCTCACCTCAACCTCCTGTTCCAAGTGTATAGGTCGCAACAAACTATAGTGGCCACGAAACTAGCAAAAAACGCAAAAGGCCCTATGAAGAGACAGTGTTTAGTTTAACCCTTCTGGGCTACTGTACAAATATGGTTCAACATGGCAGACTCCCTAGAAGAGGACCTGCTCCCCTATATTCCATTTCTGCCAATCCTCCTACATGTTACACACTCGACCTTTCAGTAATGTATAGGACTTGTGCCATGCTCATTACGGGCAGGATATAATGTACATATATAAAAGTGAGCCTTGCAGAGACATAAAAGAATCCATTACTGATACACAAGAGCTGGATGCCTGCATGAGTGCTGAAATAAAAAGCCCACTCATCTAAGCCCAGGTACATCTAGGCTTCAAGGTTACATTTTTGTATTGAATTATGTGTGAAAATGGATGTTCTCAGTGCAATAAAAGCATTCAAGGCTAAAATATAGTGAAAAATTGCAAATGCTTTCATACATTCAGGTGTCCTTCTAAGTACATTTATGTTTCGGCACTTTCATTTGAAACATGTTTTGGAATGCATGTTTTTTGATTTTTACACAACCACAAGATGGAAGCAGCTTACACTGAAACAACAAAAAGGAAATAGTTTGGAAATGGAAGTGAAATAGCAGATCCTCTTGACTCACCCCATCCCAGGACATAGTACCAGAAGAGCTGCTGTTCCCCGACAAAGACGGCCACTATGATGAGTGTGTGGAGGTAGATGCCTTCACACAGCATCCAGAAGTAGTTGGAAGTAGACGTATACTGATTCAGCACAGCCAGGACCTTACAGATCACCTGATGGACAGGGAATGTAAGACTTTACTTCCAATATGATTTAAACCCAGAATTAAAAACAGAGAGCCATCCACAGATTGAGTAGTGCTTTAAGCTGTGGATTATACACCTAATGAGCACAACATTAAGTTAAATATAGCATGTATTTAACATGGGGGAATTAAATTAGGCACTTAAATGTATTAGTGTGATAAGATGAAATATAGATAAAAGATAAATTCAGCGGCTCACTGGGTTGGTGGCATTTATGGCTTGGTTATTGCCCGCAGTGAGCGAGAGCCATATTATAGTAATAATGGAGTTCAAGATGAAGGAGAGAAACATATTCTTGTGGAGGGAGATTCTCTGGCAGCTCAGACTCCTGAAAGAGAGAAACAGACAGAGAGAGGGAAGGGAAGGTACGTTAGAAAAAGTCTCTTTTTATAAAGGCTTACATACAAACAGTTTTGGACTGCCATCGCCATAGCTGAGTGAGATTTTGAATGTGATTGTACTTCTCCTCAACAATTACATTCCTTAGATTGATTAGATGGAAAAGCCTTTGAAACATTTGCATCTTGTGACAGTAAAACTGATAAGTAGCACAGTACAGTATTGCTCAGTTGTAGAGAATCATAGTGTTATTGAATATTAGGAGCAGAGCCAGACCTTGTAAACATTTGGGGCTTAGCCCAAAACTTGGGGGGTCCGGGGAGATTTTTTTTAAACTACTCTTCAAGCCATTTGAGATAATAAAATGCCTAACAATCTGCACATCTGTCTTCATAATGAAACCACATTATGAACATAACATAAAACATAAAACATTTTCAGGATGTCTGTTTTTACCCCTGCTAGCTAAAAAGATGTTATTTCAGCTACATAATTTGCATAAACAACATTACTAATATTAAAGCCTATTTTCCCTGTTCATTCCATAATAGAAATGTTGTGTGCTTATGTTATAAATATCAATGTTGTTTCCATATATTGGTCTACATAAAAGCAGCCTATACCAGTTTCTGAGCTAGCATACACACACTGACATTGAAATAGGACAGAAAAGTAAGTTTAAGTGTATAAAGTGAGTCAGATCAGAAACCTTGTGACTCACTTGAAGTAGGAGAAGATGATCAGACAGATGATCAGGGACACAATGGACAGACCGTGACCCACCATGGCCAGGTAGTAGAGACTGATGGCAATCTGCAAGGGACAAAAGAGGGTTTATTCATGATGAATATAAATAAATTCACCACATATAAAGGATGGTTTTATTTTAAGGCCAGGTGAAAGCAGGTAGAGTGTTTGCATAGTTTGCACCTTTACAGTTCGTTATCACAAGCATGGTCGCCTCTTTGCAGCATGTAAGAAAGCAACGGAAACATCTGTCAAGAATATGAGCCTTCTGGGAAAATTCAGAAAAGAGAGTGTTTCCTGAATGGCTATAAATTTAGATTCACTGACTGAAATTATCATACTGTTGGCCAAATGTCACAGCAGTTAAATGAGATTCATGGAAGAGTGTCCAAGAGTGGCCAAGTGGCACAAATCCTAAATGACTTGCATGTTTAAGTCAGTGTAGCCTGTACTTGTAGACACTAGGTGGATCAAATTGATTTATTAAACATATATTTAATTATTTAACATAAAAAAACTAGAGGTTTTCACAGTACATTTACACTTAAATCAGAACTCCACACAGACAAGATTCTGCGAGTTAGATGTCGAGTTTGACTTCCAAAGATGTAAAGTGTGGGGAGGAAATTGAGATGAGTTTTCCTGTGATGCTCACAGTAAGTTTGCAACTCAAAATTTGATCGTATATAAACACCTTATACAACAAAAAACAAGTAATGTCACATAAACAATATGCGCCAAGAACATGAAATAGTTACACAGCAGCAGCTATTTGAACATTGCACATTAGTTAGTGTAACATAGTGCGGATGGTATTTATTACACCTCGATTCATGCAGACACACCGACACCGCCCAGCTACGGGCCAATCAGGGTCTGTGATTTAAAGTCGCAGGATAGAGATTTTGATGGTTTGGAGATTTTAAAGAAATCTGATTCCACTCGCTGTAACTTGAGCTAAGCATGCTGGAGGCAGCTTGTTAGCTGTAGTTTATAGTTTCAGGGCAGTAGTGTAGTTTACAGTGTTTACAGCAGTTCCCACCACATGAGTCAGTGAATCAGTTCGTGTTGTTATGCTCAGCTGTCCAAGGACTTGTAACTTCTGACTATCAGATATCAACATCTGTCATAAACCCTTCTGGTGTTGTTTCCTGTAGTCCGCTCCGATTACATTTCCAGCATCATGCCAAAAAAGGTGCAACAGTTGCATGTTGCATTTTGTCCTTTCACAGTTCATGCTATAAGCTTTAGGTCAAGTCAACCAACACTGTAAAGTCTAGGAACATTAAGCAACTGAGGCTGCACTTAACTCCACTTGGAGGCATTACTTAAAGTCTTGTGGTTACTATGCACCAGTCCACTTGAAAGAGGAGTAAGAGCCTTGTTTTTTTTGGTTATTTTATTCCAGCAAATTACATTACTCTTATTTGGTCAAAGGAGCCAAACTAAATGTGTTTTTAAGTGCTCCAAACATAGTGAAACCTTTGAAATCCTCTCACACACACACGTGTTTCACTGCATTGTGTTTTTCCCTTATATATATACTGTCAATGGTTTTACCTTGAGTTTGTCCTTGGTGTGGGCCTGGCACTGGGTGTAGTTAGTCCAGACTCTGTTGCTCTCTGGGTGGTGGAACCACTGGCCACCAGGATTACACACTTTGGTAACCTTCTCTGTTGAAAACGTTATATTTCTTACAGTTTGAATTAAGTGACTTAAGGTGCCACACAGACAATGAAAAGCTCACTGTAAACACTAATTATAGTTTGCATATGTTTCTGTGTTAGTGCATTGTTGTATCTTTGACAGATACCATTAGTTTATTTTATTTATTTTTTGCAATTATGCAAACAGCAAAAACACAAAGAAAATACAAGATACACAAAATGTGTGCCTGCATATGTGTACATACATGTATGTATGTGTGTGTGTGTGTGTGTGTGTGTGTTAAGGCCTCACCAGCAGGGTCAAAGTCAGCAAAGTATTCAGGACACATCTGCATGACAGTCCCTGGAGATGAATCCCCCCAGCACAGCCAGCCGTCCCACGTACGGTTACAGTAAGAACCTACAGAGGGCAGTACGGACATGACAGTGAACTTGCAGAGCTTGCAGATACTAGACATTAGAGATGTGTGTGTAGCTCAAAAACACATGCCTTGGCTTTTTAAAATGAGACTTAATGTAATGCTGCTTGCTTCAAGTGCACTATTTAGATATGAAGTCACCCGAAATCCCAAACAGGTAGAGGGCTGGAAATAAAGAGAGGAAAAAGAGCAGCGTGTGAACCTTCTTCCACTCCTTGTTTTAAGTGAGGGACCGAATTCTGTAAATGGCTATGAATCTCCAGGAAAACTTGAAAAGGCCCTATCTTAGAGCCAGTGCTTGGTTTAAATGTTCTGGGCTACTGCAGACACATGGCGGTTCAACATGGCGGACTTCATATAAGAGAACCCGCGATCTGTGTAGATAAAAACTGCTCATTCTAACGAAAAAACAATGATTTGTATTATAAGGTGATTATACACTAATGAAAACATACCTATGAATATTATACTCCAGAGCCATTTTCAGCTTGTCTAATTAAAACTTTAAGAGCACTAAATCAGGCACGAGAAGTAAGTTTGGATTTTATCTTCAATAAACAAAACTGAAGCCTACTGTAATGTATTACCACTCAACCAATAAATTACAACAGCTATGTAATGAGTCTGCTGTCAGTGGCAAACATGTCAACAGAGATCCATGAAGGTACTTTTTAAATGTTTAATAAACTTCCTGGCTGGATGAATCATATAAATTATCTATTCAACATAAATGGTGTGTCACACCTCTATTTAACTGCAGCTGGCCCGCACAAAGTCTGTCAACAATGGACGGAAACCTGGCAGTACCAGGTTGCACAGTGGCATGTTGGGAAACGGAGCACAAAATAACATTTCAAAGGCAGTGAATACTGAGGAGGAGTAACAGGCACTGGAAAATAGACAAAGGGCAAGTTTCCTTTCTTTCAGACTCACTTCCTCTCTCTCTCTCCCTCCCTCTCTCTTTCTGAGTGTGTGCACACGCTGGAAACTAGGTAGGAGTATCATGAGGATAATTGACTGAAGGTCATATTTTTTCCTCCTTCGCATTCACATCTTAATTGCGGATCCTAGTATGACAGTATAGTGCTAAAAAAACAGGAGCATGTGGAATTAAGGGTAATCCAAGCACAATGAAAATGCATTTCTTTTAGAAGGACATCCTGTAATTCAATCTTTTACTTTTTATAAGTGACTACAACTGCAGCGGGAGTGATTTCATTAAAACTGCTTCAGCACTGCAACTTGTCTGTAATATGTGATTAACATTTATCTACCATCCGCCAGAAGCAAAATGTGTTGATACCATTAAGGATATGTAAGTTCCAGCTGAACTGTGAGTAAACAATAAAGAACAACAGTTTTATCACCTTCCTCTAGACGTGGCGGATCATGGATTATCTTCAGGTAGCACTCAAACTGAGCAGCCAGGATTTGGGGCCGGGATTCTCCTAGTACGGCGGAAATGTCACTGAAATTCTCCTGCTGCTCATCCACCTCCCTTTCCACAGACACCATTGACCCCACATCCTCAGACTGGGACACCTGGGTAAAAATTCATACATAGTACAATGCATATATATTAGAGATGTTAGAATGATGAATGTCTCCTCTTGATGTAAGCTTTCCTGTTAGACTCAAATATCACTTTACAATTAGAAACTACTACCAACAGGTCCCAGAGAAAGTACAGCAACTTGTAACGGCAAAATTAAAAAAAGAATAACTGGGATTTTATCAAATGATACTAATGATAATAACAGTTGGATATATCATATAAACATGCATGGCTAAAATGTAATAAAGAAGTATTACAGAAGTGTACACACCCAGGGTGTCAAAAGTAATTAACTAAATATAGAATGAAAAGGAGAGGACTATGGATCTACACACACACACACACACACACAATCACACTCACCGCTGTGCCCAATACCAGTGCAACTATCAGTGACAGTGCTAGGGTCCTCCACATGTTTCTAAAACAGAAAAAAGAACAAGGACAATCCAATTATTAGACATTTTTATGCCAGATTGCCAAGTATCCACATGTTATTACATGTGAGAAGCTGTTATTTATTTCAAAACTGATTCCAAACAGTTGTTGGGAAATAAAGGTCTGTGCCAAAGTGGTGGACCAACCAGTCTGTTGGTTGGTCCACCACTTTGGCATATTTTGACACTGTCCCTTGACTCAGGCTGCTAGCCTGGCTAAAAATGCAATTGTGAACCTTTTTGTCCCTAACTAACATCACACACAGTTTTATAATTCCATGTTAATAAAACGTTGCTGTTTTTTTCCTGCTGTTATTTAAATTCAAACCATTGTGAGTGCATGGTCTTACAAGCGTGTATGTTTATTTACAGTATGTATTTTCTCATGTGTCAGGACAGGAAGTTCATGCTCCACCGGCCATTCCTCTCCACTGTCCACTCAGGGTCACACAAACAGATGTGTGTTTATTATTATTTCTGAGTGGGTTAGGGTTAAGGGCAGCGAGTTCCCTTTAGTGTTTCCTCTTGAACCTAATAAGTCAAACAAGGGTGAAATAAATACTCAGAATAAGGAGGCTTAAGAGAGAGGTGACAATAAAATAGTCTCTTTAGTGGGAAAGCGTGATGGGTTTTATTCATTATTATTATATTTACATGACGGATCAGATGCTCAATTCAGGTGGTAATAAAATGCAGAATTGTGCTACTTGTGCTTCTGTGCGTCTTTTTTTTCTTTCAGCTTGCTCTTCGTGGGAGTTACCAATGTATCATCAGTGTAGAGCTGATTGGATTAGGCTTTTTAAGGCAGATGCCCCTCCTGACGCAACCCTCCCCATTTATCCAGGCTTGGGACCGGCAGCTAGGAATGCACTGGGGTTCAGCTCTGACACTCAGTATGTAAATGGATAAGTAATGGAGTACATGTCTAAGTGATTGAGTGATTCTTTGCCTTTAGAGATAAGGTGTAATATGCAACCCGTCCTTCTCTTTAGAATTGGAACCTCTTTAATCCCTGTCAATTATTTTACATGACTTCAAATGTTTGTTGTGCAGACGACATTCAAACCAAACAATAATCTTTAGAATTATTTAAGAGCAGAGAAGTTTAACTTTTAGAGAGAGAGGTAAAAACCAGCCAAAGATATATAAACTGAATTATAAGCAAATTAAATGAAAAATGACGCATGTTGAGATTAATTGAATGTTAAAGTCCCCCTGAACAAATAAAGATGAATATTTAAGTGGTTTTAAAGCACAGACAGATAGCCAGTTACAGTTCAAATTCAAACCAAGAAGCTCTTCTTGAGGCCAGAGTAATGAAAACATTTGGACAGTTGAGAGAGATGAAGAAATAGAGGAGAAAGCAATGTGGGAATGCTGTGCGTCAAGGGTGTGAGGGTTTCGGGAACCAGTGCTTTGAATAGAACCAGTGCTTTTAATAGTACGAAAAAACATTCCTCATTCTTTGTTTGGACGTTTTTCTTTCTACCTCTCCTCACTCATGTAAAGCCCAGATTTAACTGAAACAGAGCATTTCAATAAATTATGTTTCAGGGAGCATTTAGAGCACGCTTTCATGCATAATGTTCAGTGATTTTGTGTAACGTCTCATACCCAAAGGGAGTGATGTGCCAAGGCTGTACAGAAGCAAGCTCTTTTTACTCACCCCAAGACACAAGGGTGATTATTATTACATTTGCAGTAAATAACTTCTCAGTGTTGAAGAATGTAATATTTATGTGTGCTAACCTTTTAGTAATTGTCTGCAGTGACAATGTTTTGATGGCAGAAAGGTACAGAATGTTTGAATAAATGACAGTAGACAAGTAGGTGTTTTCCACGAAACACAATGTGACGCTAATAGCGCTAGCTGGTCATTTTTAAACGTAAAACCGACTATCACGATGGGTTCAAAAAGGCGTAAAAAGAAATTTTGTAAATTTAGCTTTTTGCTGTCTTACTCAAATGAGAAGATATTTAAGACTGTATTTAATTTCTGTGTCTGAGGCTGTAGCTGTTAGCATGTCTAGGTTGTTGTTGTTGAGGTGTACATATTTATGCATAAACACACAAGTGTGGAATATGTTCACATTATAAATTAATAGACATTTGTATGTTCTGAACAGAGTCGTATCTTTCAGCATAGCTAATCACTCTGGCAACAGTATTACAATACACAGTGTAAGGAAAAGTTAAAATACAGGAATGATTTATCAGTGAACGAACTGAAGATACTGACTCCACATGTTATGGTCAGTAGCTTCTAGTGTTTTCCCTCCCTGGTGTCTCTCTCTCTCTCTCTGGTTGCCTGAGGACCTGATTACCTGCTCGAACCTGCCAGCCATCAACTCATCAGTCCTGCAGTATATCAACTGGTTCTTCATCCACTCTCCGCCAGATCGTTGTATCGTCTACATGTTTGGTAGCAACTCTCTCGCCCAGTTAGTGAGATTGAAGATACGTTTTTTTCCTTTGCGTTGACGAACTTAACCTTGTTTTTTTTTCCAGTGCCTCAGAATCATCACCTACACTTCAGCCAACCTGCCCGCTCCTCCTGTTCAGCCACACTGCCTCCACCTTCAGCTCCACTCTGCCTGGATCTCAGCCATTATCCTCTCACCACTGCCAGCTGGAGCTTCACCTCACCATCTTATCAGCCGCCAACTGGTTTTACAATAAAGCCCTGTCTTTTGGTAATCATACTCTACTGAGTTTGTGTTCTGCTTGTGGGTTCCTCTGTTTAACACAGCACCACAGTCCTTTCACAGACAAGTTCAATGTGTTACGGAATTTAAGAAATGATTTCAATGTTGTCTATATTTTGGCTTTTTCTTTTGTATACAGAAAGCAGTTATTTAGTGTTGTGCTTGGTGCTATTACTATGGTCGTGTGTATGTGTCCTGTCCCTCTCTCCTGGTTCCTGGAGCCCTGTTCATCTGCACACCTGCAATCAATCAGCTCGTCAGCTCTCCGGTATTTCAACCTTCGCCCAGATTGTTCAGTCAGCTGCAGTGGCAGTATGAGCTCAGGCCTTAGTAATAAGTATTTGAGATTCAGTTTTCTTTGGAAAACATTGTTTCTCTTAAATGGCTACAGGGCTGCCTACTCTTCAATGGAAAATAACACTTCTCTACACTGCTCTAAACTGCTACATTATGCAATGTGCTAATTTGCAACTGCCCCATTTGCTTATTAACAGTTAGGAAAAAGTTATATAAATTGGATATTAATTTCCCTGGTACATGAGTAGCTACCAGGTGACCACTAACTTACATCCAATCATATTCAGTGAATACTTAAAGTTATTTTTTTTGCTGCTAATCCACTCATGTGGAGAAATAAACTAATTTGTTTTTCTGGCAGAATTAGGAGAGGACTATCACTCATGTCTGACATTAAATAGGAGCCTAAGCTTAGTTTAGCTTAGCACAAAGGTGGGAATTGGCTTGCCTGCCTCAATCAGACTCAGAAGGAATATATATTGACATATTTAATGGTCAGATGAGAGAGTAGTATCACATCTTCTCTAAAAACTTGCGAATAAGCTTATTTTTACCAAAATGTTGACCTATTTCATAGTGTTTTTGCTATGGTTGACTCTAAGATCTAATGTTCATGTATGTTTATAGCTATCTTTGTATTATTTATAACCGTTTATGTGCTTATGCTGGGGGTTAGTTTGGATTCTCTGCTCCTTCTCAAAGAGCACTATTGGAAGTGAAACGCTAATGCCCCAATTACTTTTTTGGAAATCAAATGACAGAAACAAAGTAAGCAGGTTGTTTCTCTTGGTCACTGATAGACGTTGTGCCCCTTGGAATTAGAACACCTTTACTACAAGGAAAATGTCAAGAGTCGGCATTCTAGATCTTGCCTTTGTCCCTTCTTTCTCTCTTTTACGTGCACACAAACACACACAAAGCATACAATGCTTTAAATTTATCTCCTAAACCCACTGCACCAGAAGCCACTTTGCCCACTAAGCAGTTTGTATTGTCTTTCCTCTTTATATGACAACAAGCCACACCAGCACATATATCATTCTCATTCTGGGTTTCAAGATCTTTTATTAATGCAGCTAAAACCTGAGATTTTTTTTTTTTTGTAATTATGTCCCCATTGTTGGTGCTGAGAACTCAGTGCACATTTTTGTACTGGTGTGACATCTTTTCCCTGGGACTGCAGCTATTAACAACCACCCACAAACAGACGTTCATTTATAATTACAGTTCCATTCAATAAGACCCAAACAATGAATGCATTTCTATCTGTTATGTACACAGTGGCCTCTAGCAATGTATTGTTCGCGATTAGGACATTGTAAATCCAAGGAAACACACACTCACATATTATAATACCTTGGCTATGCTCGCTGTGTCCCATTGTCGCCGACGAACACTGTGTACAATGTATGTGAACTGTATCCAAGTAGTTCGGTCTGTATTTGTTTTCTGGTAACAATACAAACGGAATGGCTGCTACCTTTCTCACTTCCATTGTCATTTGTCCTTTTTTTCCAGGGTGATCACCTCTAATTATGAGGCGATCAAGAGCGTCAATGAAATGCTATGACATTAAAAATTAGGGATGCAGGGCTCCCTCATAGCAAACCTGGTAGAGCTGGCACCCCATGTACCAAGGCTGAGTTCCTGCTGCAACGGCCAAGGGTTTGAATCCAACCTGTGGCCTTTTGCTGCGTGTCATCCCCCCCTTACTGTCTATCTTCAGCTGT